ACATAGCTTTTCAAAATAAAAAGGGCACTTTACAGCAGGTCAGGATTCATGAGTTTTAGTGACAGCTAAATAAACCTGTGGTATCATTAGGAACCATTCTCTTGGCTTTTTTTGTTTGTTTTTTAAATTGATACACTACAAGAAGGTTGACTAGATGGTCTTAAGGGTCTCTTCAATGTTATATTTCAGTGGTTCTAAAGTTAATATCATACATAGCAGTAATTATAGAGTACAGTCTATTTTTTATCTGCCTATCAATTATCCATTTTCAAAATTTTTATTGATTTCTCTCCTATGATGTTTTTTCAGGTAATGTAAGATAATTTAAAAATTATTCTTAAGTCATTAGTAAGCTAATAGGCACTAATCCAAATGTGGATACCATGTATTTTAAAATCAAAGAATAAATAAAGTGCATATTATATAATATCTTAAATAATTCATATTATTTTGATCTTCTCAAGCACCCGTTGACTTTATTACAGTTTCATTTAACTACTACTTATTGAACATCTATCTGTTGAAACACACATACACACACACACACACACACACACACACACACACACACACACACACACACACACACGAGATGAGACAGCAGTTACAGAGTGTAAAGGTATGAAAGAGTATAAGATAATCCAATTAGGAGATGCCAAGGAGATTCGTGCTGTGAGGCAGCCTCCATGTGTAGTATGAACTGAATCACACATACATTGGGAAATAGTATCCCCAGTAAATGCACATGATAAGTAAAGTCACGAAGGTAGAAAACTTCAGGGTTTGTCTGATGACTCAAAAGTTGACCCATGTGTCGGGACATAGTTTGTGCATGTGTCTGCAAGTCAAAGCCAAGTGCAAGACCGGCAAAGTAGGTTGAGGTCAAATGGCAGAGCCAGACCAATTTCCAGATGTTAAAGTTTTGAATGGCATGTATCACTAAATCAAGAATGACCAGAGAGAGACTTTTTCACTAAGTTAGAAGAGAAGCAGGAAAAAATAGGCATAATAATTGACAAGGTTTTAGATAAGATGAGAAGTTATCAGAGTTCTTATGTTAATGAATGAGATGATGATGATTAAATAGGTGGGTGTTTGAAAAAAGGCATATGGACTAAGCTAGAAAAGAGAAGTTAACTGTACTTCTGAAGACTGGCTGAAGTTTTGTGTAGTGATATAATTCATAGAATTACATTTGTATTTCACTAAATCTCTGTCACTCAGGATATGAACAAATAATTTGAATGCCTGAAATTAAATGTAAAAATATAATTGACATCAGAGAGTATGAGATAGGTTTACATTGGAAGAGATGGATGCCCAAAAGTCACCAGGCAAATTCAGGAGAAGTGGTCAAGTGTCAAGAATTTTTAACTTGCTTTTATGTATTTCACTTAACAAACATTAATGTGAACTAATACATGTGAAGGTATTTAGTAAGCAAATATTAATCCATCTAATCCTCATTAGTTACTCTATGAGTTAAACACTATCTTATAATTCCAATTTTACAATTGAGGAAACTGAGTCCTGAAGAGTCTTTTTTTTTAATGTACTCAGATCATTCAGACAGATAAGTGTCAACCTAGGGTTTGCCTTCAATCAGGATAAACAAGATTCAACGTTTCTAAGTATTATGCTATGCTATATTCAAGTTAAAAGTAGGGGAATAAGAAGTTAAGCAAATATAAGCTGTTGTCAAAGTCAGATTCTAATGTTTTAAAATAAAAGCAGTTCTTGGATGTTTTATGACTTAGAATGTCGCAACAGAAGTGAAGGACTAGAATAAAATGGAGGCAAAGTCATAAAGATTTGAAAAATGAAGGGGACTGAGAGAGAAACTGAATGACTCTCCACAAAACACCATGATGGGCTTAAGTTTAGGAGAACAAAGTGGCCCTGAAACCATGTCCTCATCTATTTACTGGGATGACTGGCCACTGAGCGCAACAAGGAGAGATAAAAAGAAAGTTCTCCCACGGCCCAGCACACACCCACTCACCTCACACACATGCAAAAGAACTCATCCTCATCCAAGTGTGCATGAGAAGCAGTTAATGCACACCTTCCACCCGATAGAGGTTCAGGACTGGCAAGTTCCTCAAAGAGGAATTAGGGTTGGGTTAAGGAAATCAAGGTGAAGAAATGAATTACACAGAAAGTTCTTACTTAACGTTCTCCATAGGTATTTGGAAACTGTGACTTCAAACAAAGTGACATACAGCAGGTCCTCAAAAAAGTCCTCTTCCATGTTGTTTCATTATAATGTTGAAGAGGAAAAATGCATTTGTTATAAATCATTTTGCTTGAAGCTGCAGTTTTCAAGATCCTACCAATTATATTGGGAATTTACTGTAATCAGTGGAATCATCAGATGTGTGTTTGTTGTTGCTTTTTTGTTTTTTCTTAATAGGATAAGCTTCATAATAATCATTGTGTAAATGCCTGGCAGAAAAGACAGGGGAGATGGAAAGTGGTGGAAAGCACTGAATAGACTTATTTTAAACATGCAAAATGGTATTTGGGGGGTAAAGTCTGAGTTCTACAAACATTGAGAACAATTTAATTATTTCATTTAATAACCTAGGTAAAAGAATCTAGCAAATACTGCCACTATTCATCAATTCCAAGAAAAACAACTGTCATTTCAGATGCATTCTGTGTGTGCGTTTTCACGGGACAGAAGGCGCTGCATCAGCTATATTTCCCAATATGTGATCCCTGGACCAACATCATCAGCATCACCTGAAGACCTGTTAGGAATGCACAGCTCCACCTCAGGCCCACTGAATCAGAAGCACAAGATCAGGGCCCAGCAAGCTGCGAGTTTTCAAGCCCTGCAGGTGATTCTGATGATCAAGTTTGAGAACATCTGACCGTTTAAACCAATACTTTCTGTTTAGCTAGATGGAAGATCCTATGTCAGCATTCACCTGCAGAAGTTAATTTTAGATGCCCAAGCACATCTATATCTGTGTTAATTGTACTAGTTTTGTTTCTTCTTTTCTTTCTTCTGGTTTATATTGTGTTTAATAAGTTATAACCCTTTTGGAAGTATATTTTAAATTAACCACCACTAAGTGTTTTATTTTTAAGTCTTATTGAGACATGTCTAAAAAATCTAGAACTGTAAAATAATGAAAAAATGTTGGAAAGTTGTAAATGTGCAATTGTAGAAGGATAAAAATATATGACAAATTGCTAAGAAAGTGGGTGCAGGGAGTCGATTCTTATTTAATTGATGTGGGAAAGAGCCAGGCATCGGCATTAAACAAAAGAAAAAGAAAAAATACTTGACGATTTTGATATATAGCCAACGTTAGGATCACCAAATAAGAGAATAGTAAAAAGACTTAGAGAATCATTTACTTTGATGAATCTGGTGAAAAATCATGGTAATAATGCCAAGTCACAACAAGTCTGCCTATAAGAAGAGTCTGGAGAAATGGTTAAGAAAAACATAAAATGCAACTTAATTTCATGTAAGCTTGAAAAAGATCTGGGAAACTCAAAGAAAGAACAAAGGGAAGTGGGTTGATAACAGCACAGAAAAGTAAACGGCAGGCCAGTTGGACTTGGTTCATCAAGTGTTTTGAACAGTGAGTGAATTAACATCCTGCCTGCACTTGTAGACGAAGGCCATGTGGGTTCAAAGATTCAAGCTGAAAACTCGAAAGAATTCCTCTTAAAAGCAGCAGACATACAATCGACCAAGAAATAATTAAAATTCAACACAAAATACCACTTTGTGGAGAAATGGTGGTGCCTTTATTCATCTCAGATATAGAAAAAAATGTTTGTCTTGATTTTTATAATCATCCCGAACGTGGTCCTGATAACACCTGAGAAAACTTTCTTTCTGGCTGTCACTTCAATAGAAATTCACTGAACATTAATATTTACTTTGGAATGAGACAGATTTCTGCAGGTCTTAGGAATACAAAATAAATCTTGAAATGCAAATATTCAACATTTATGAATAATAAATATATATTGAAAGAATGATGTTCATATGGTTTATTCATAAGCTAAGCAGGTGTGACTCTTAATCATATTATAGTAAATATTTTATTGGTAAGATAAATGCTATCAAGAGTTACTATTAAATTTAAACAAAAATGTTTCCTAATCCTAATTCTGAAACATCATAATATTTCACATTTGCTTTAGAAATATAAAAGTTTGGATTCATTATCTTCACCATAATTCTAGTGGCAAGAATTTTACATTTATTTAGTGATATCCTGTATAACTGAGTTAATCAGATTATTGAATAAGTTATACTTAGAAAAGGCTTTGTAGTTTAGAAAAGGTGAGTAAATGTTTAAAAAAATTTTTTCTTCCATTGCAATGAGTATAGTTAGCCAGAAGAGAGCGCTCAGTCACTACATTTAATTGAAGAGTAATTTACTTTCAAACTACATAGAAATTCTCTGCCAGATCCTAGAAGAAACACAGCTATTGTTTAATTATTTATAATATCTAGAGTCAAATCCCATAAATAAAACTCTCAGGTCTGGCAGTTGAAAAATCGTTTTTCCCTGCCAGAACTGTTTGCTGAAACTCACAAGGGAGATTTTCATGGGAAAAAAGGTGCAGTTTGTGTGTTTATAGGGAATTTTCTCTTTCACTAATGGGAAGGGCTCTTCAACACTAAAAATAGATGCTTTTTCAAAACAACTCAAAGGATACACTTTCCAATACATCTTATTAGCACAAAAGAACTGAGGAATATTTTTAAAAGTCATATGACAAACCTACTCAAGAAATAATCAATGATCAGATAGAACTTGATAAATAAGAACCTGATATTGATAGATTTCAATATCTTTTACATTGTCTGGTTGTCAATGGAAGAAATTTTTTTATTGTTGAGCAGGATCACTTTATTTCACAAAAATATTATACAACTGTAGAAGATGCAATTTTAAGTTCATCAATATCCAATCCCTTCTCCTGCCCTCAACCATGATAAATAAACTAAATTAAGAAATACATACACTCAAGCTTATCCTCTGGTCTTCCCCTTTCGAGAAGAGACAGGTAACAGACAATGTCCTTCAGATGAATTACTTCTGGCGAACACGTGTTCGCAGGAGAAGTATTACGGGGAGGAGTGATGGCACCTTTGTTCATTCTCAGACCTAGGGGGGGAAAAACACAATATTGGCTTTATGTTTCATTAAATACTTGCAATGTTTGAAAACAGAAGAAAAAAAGAGAGAGGTAACACATAAGACTATGTAGAAAGCGATGTATTTTTTAGGCATAAATAATCAAATTCAGAGCCGGGCTCGGTGGCTCAGCCTGTAATCCCGAGTCTTTGGGAGGCTGAGGTGAGTGGA